GTTTGCCGAAAGGCGGCCAACGAATGCGACGTGGCAGAACAGTGCTCAGGCTCGAGTGGTTACTGCCCCGCCGACGCATTCCAGTCATCGTCGGTCAAGTGCACCGGCACAAACAACGGCGGCGCTTGCGACGCTCAAGACTTGTGCGACGGCTCTGGGAAGTGCGTGGACAAGTACCTGCCGGCGTCGAAAGAGTGTCGGGCGTCCAAGGGCCAATGCGACGTCGCGGAAACTTGCACCGGAAGTAGCAGCCTCTGCCCCATCGATGCGTTCCAGTCGTCGTCAACCACCTGCGTCGGCACCTGCAACGGCAACGAATGCGACGGAATCGACAAATGCGACGGCCAAGGCAACTGCGTGGACGTTTATCTGCCTTCGTCGGTGGTTTGCCGACCGTCCAAAGGCTCGTGTGACGTACAGGAAATGTGCACTGGGTCAGCTGGCCGGTGTCCGACCGATGCTTTTGCATCGAGCACGACGACGTGCACGGGGACCAAGACGGGAGGCGCATGCGACGCCCAAGACTTTTGCGATGGCTGTGGCAACTGTGTCGACCGCTATCTTTCGTCATCTACGGTCTGTCGGGCTTCCAAGGGCGTATGTGACGTCGCAGAGGTTTGCACTGGTCAACGCAGCGAGTGTCCGGATGATTCATTCGCTTGTGCGACCACCAAGTGCTCTGGCACGAGCACCGGCGGCGCGTGTGACATTCAAGACTACTGCGACGGCAAGGGCAGCTGCGTCGACATGTATTTGCCGGCAATGAGTGTCTGCCGGCCCTCCAACGGCCAATGTGATGTCGCCGAAACGTGTACTGGCTCCAGCGGTGCGTGCCCGGTGAATGCGTTCGCGACGACGACCGTGACGTGCACGGGATCCTGCAACGGCAACCCATGCGACGGTGTCGACCACTGCGACGGGAATGGCAACTGTATCGACGTGTACCTCCCATCGTCGACCGTCTGCCGAACGGCGGCTACCGGCTGCGATATTGCCGAGACCTGCACCGGCGAGTCGGGCCAATGCCCAATCGACAAGTTTGAGCCGACGACGACGACGTGCTCGGGAACGTGCAACGGAAATCCTTGCGACGCTCAGGATTACTGTGACGGCAAGGGCAGCTGCGTCGACAAGTATTTGCCGTCGGGTGCCGTTTGCGGTAACACCAAGGCGGGTCCGTGTACGATCGCAGCGACGTGCACGGGCGACATGGGGTTCTGCCCGCCCGATGAATACGCCGACTCGTCGGTCACGTGCGCTGGCACGAGCCAAGGTGGCGCCTGCGACGGCAAGGACACCTGCGACGGGGAAGGCAACTGCGTCGATCGCTTCTTGGGCGGGAAAGTTGTGTGCCAGAAACCCACCGGCTACTCGCGTCCGATCTACTGCAACGGCAAGAGCGCAACGTGTCCCGTGTCGAGCTTTTTGGAAGGCAACTTGCGCGAGATGACGGCCGACGACCCGACGCCGGTGCAGTCGATGCTCGTGGCCGTGGCGCCGTCGTCGCCCATGGTGCTTCTCGGCCTCGTATGTGTCGTCGCTGCCGCCGTCGCTTTGGTCGCGATGCGCCAGCGCCGCGACGACCTCGCGCTGGACGACGCCACGTACAAGCTGCTGGCGACGCACGAAGACGCATCGGCGGCCTTTTGAAGTCGCGGTGGCGACCTTGCATACTGTACTACTTGATGATAAGCAACAATACAATTTGTACTTTTGGCTGCTACAAAACAAGGGAAAGAGGTGCTTCGGGAGTGATATCGGCGAGGTCTTTCGACGCAAGTATCGCACTTCTCCAAGCGTCCACGTGGGTGGAGAGCTTTGCGTAAAGACGGCAAATGCATCAGCACAGACGAACAGAGATGTCTTGGTCCGACAACGACTGGTGACTTTGAGTTCTGGTCGCAACCCGTGAGCCTTCAGGATGATCAAGGTAGCATGCTCGAGTCTAGTTGTTCCACTATGGTCCGATCTTGCGCCAGCACCCGAACCCTCTCACTAGGGTAGGTTTCGTGTCAGCTTGGTCAATCATCGCAAAGAAGGGCTATTCAAGCAGCATGTCTGCATCTCGTACAACAGCGGACCGCATGTCCGAGCCGAGACGTCGCTGCTCGACACGTAGCTCGATTTCAACAGCCCGCGCGACTCATCAGCCTTGGCTACGCGGCAGGCAACTTGCACGGCTAGTACTCCACAAAGCCCATTTGCGAATTCCCTGCATGCGAACCAACCGGGCTGAACGTCGTCGTGCATGACTGGCTATGCACCAGCCGCGTCCTCGTCCGGAGGAGCTCTGGACCGCGCTGTCGTTGGCAGCTCAGTCCGATCTGCTGGCATCGCGCTGGAAATCACCAAGCAGCGGCACAAAGACAGCGCCTCCCGGTCGTCGTCGTGGCGTCGACTTCGTGGGTGTGTATCTTGTTCAATTTTGACCAATCACAGGACGCGGCAGAATGCAGCAGCTAATCAGATGGCGTCATTTTCAAAAAGGCAAAATGGCGCTGGCGTCGCTCTCGGACCAGCTCAAGGTGTACCTGACGCTCTTGGTCGGGCCCGACGACCTCCTCTCGCTCGCTGCCACGTGCAAAGGTATTCGCCTTGCCTCTTGCGTGGCCTGGCTCATGCGCGTGTCCTAGTCTGGTACATCTTTGCCAACGAAGAGGTAGGACCCATCGCCTGATGCATCGTCTCACAAGGTCGTAGCCGCTCTGGGAGGCGCAGGTGCTGCGCGCGCACCACGGTGACTTTGCGTACAAAGGCTCTTGGAAGGCAACGTACTTTTACCCTCGCGAGCCACCGACGGCGCCTCGGCCGCCACCGCCCGCGATCGCGGTCCCGCCCGAGTGTCTCTCGTCGGACTTTCTCCAGCGTCGGTACTACCGCCGGTACATGCACCTCGTAGACTTTGTGCCGCAGTCGCCGCGCGCGATTCCTCGCATGGCCATGGACGCGATCGCTCCGAGCGCATTTAGCGAGCGCTATGGCCGGCGCCCGGTCATGCTCACGGACGGCTGCACCGACTGGCCCGCGCTTCCGTCCACCGGTACGCTCCTTTTCCATGCTTGTCTCTGCACAACACTGCTGTATACAGGCGAGCGCAAACCCGCCGCGTGGACCCTCGAGTCGCTCGTGTACCGCTTCGGCGACGTGGCCTGCCGCGTCACGCACAACCTCGACGTCGACGTCGACGTCCGCGTCACGCTGGCCGACTACGAGGCTTACGTCGCGGGCCAGCACGACGAGACGCCGCTGTACATCTTTGACCCGCTCTTTGGCGAGAAGATGCCGTCGCTCCTCGACGACTACGCGCTGCCGCCCATGTTTCGCGACGACCTCCTCGACGTCCTCGGCGCCGACCGCCCCGAATTTCGGTGGCTCGTCGCCGGCCCTGCTCGGTGCTTCGTAATCAAATATCGACTCGAGTACTGATATCGATGCTCTAGGTCGGGCGCGCCATGGCACCTCGACCCGGTCAAGACGTCGGCGTGGAATGCGCTTCTCGTGGGTCGGAAGCGCTGGGCCATGTACCCGCCCGACCACCCGCCACCGGGTGTTCAGCTCCTCGTGCGTCTTGAGGATTCACAGAGTTGTCTCATCCTTGTTGGCGACTAGAACAACGAGACGGCGGTGCACATGACGTCGCTCGAGTGGTACTTGAACGTATACCCGACGCTGGCGCCCGAAGACCGCCCGTACGAGGTCCTCAACGCGATAGCAGTCGCCGAATTTGATGGCATTTTGCGTAGGTCGTGCAAGAGCCGGGTGAGACCATCTACGTGCCCAGTGGGTGGTGGCACCTCGTGCTTAACCTCGACTTTTCGATTGCCGTAACCCAGAACTTTGTTGGTACTTCTCACTCGATACCCAGCACCGGCGTCAACATCAAGTAGACGCTTCGAACCTCGGTCCGTTCCTCTCTGACATTACGCGCACCGGCGACCTCGAGACGCTCGACCGCCTCGAATTAGCGATCGCCACGTACGCGCGTCGACGCTGCGGCAATAGTTCATCTTTGAAATAGGACGCGCCCGGGTCTCTCGCCGTTCTTGCGGCTCCACCGCCTCCCCGTCCAGCGTGGCTACGTCAACGAGTTTGCAATGGTGCGGTCGTTCACCGACACGAGCGTGTGGACGCCAAGCGTGCGGCACATTTTATCCCGGCACGACCTGCTGCGTTCGTGCCAGGACGCGGCGCTCGCCTCAATCGCGTCGGCGCCGCTCCGAGCGCTCACGGCGGCCGTGAACCCCGTCTTTGTCGTACACGACCACGTCATTCTCAAGTGGTTTAGCTCGCTCAACCGCCAGTGGGCCGACTGCGACCTCCCGACCGCGCTCACGCCGCACGTGCGCGGCGTCGACGGCATCGACGTCATCACGTTCCTCGAAGCCGCGTTTGTCAACGAGTGCCTCGTCTACGACGCGATCGCCGCGCACGGCTCGCCGGTGCTGAAGGCCGCGACACCGACGCTCTTGGCGCGCGGCACACTGCACCCCGAGATCGACGACGACGACGTCGTGTGGCGCTGGCCGTACCTTGTGCTGTCGTATCACGCCGATGACATCTCAGTCGCGTCGATGCTGTCGCGCGGCGACCCGCTCTCGCCGGCGTCGTGGTCCAGCTTGGTCGCGTGGCTGGGCGATACGTGGTTCCCAGCCTTCCACGCCCTCCCGGTACCCGGCCTACGCCATACCAGACACTCATGCATGACATTCTCGCAGGTGCCGTCGACGCCCAGCGCCGTGGGCCCGACGCCCCGCAGTAGCATGCAATGGTACACCGAGTACCTCGGCCGTCTGCGCGCCAAGTGCGTCGGAGGTACGACACTGAAATATGAGAAGGTGGATGCAATGGCTCTATTACACTAGTGCATTTGGACAATGGCGTGCTGCCCGACCACTTGATGGACCAGATCGACGCATTTGTGCCAGCATCCGTCCCGTCACTGGTCCTCGCAAGCACGTCGTCGCCCGTGTTTTTGCATGGCGACTTAACGGCCGAGAACGTACTCGGGCGTCCGCCGTGGACCGACGCGCTGCGGGCGGCGCTGCCACCGGCCGTCGCGGCGCCGCTCGAGGCGTTTGCGGCGGCGCACAAGATGACGTCGCTCGCGCAAGTCGCGCTCGAGGCGCCCGAAATCGACGGGCTCACGTGGCCGCTGCGTCGGCGCCTCCTTGCCGTGGCCCACGTACGTACGATGTACGATGTACGCGCGTGCTGATCCGTGAGTAGCGGGCCAAGGTACACGACGCCAGCTTTCTCTTCGCAGTGGACGAGGACGATGAGAACGATGGTTCGGGCGAGAAGGAGCCAGTGTTTGTGGGCGACGCCTCGTGGGCGCCGACGACGGTGCTCGACTTTGCCGACATGAAGACGGGCGACGCAATCTGGGATCTCGTGCCCGTCATCTTTTCTCTCCTCGTACGACAAAACTCTTGATTTATAGACTATTGGATCTCATGTTTACTAGCATGGCGACGCGGCGCTCGTGCGTCAGCTCCTCCGTACGGCGCACTGGGCCAAGATCGTCGGTCCGCACCGTGAGAAGCTCCCGACGTTGCTCATGTGCCTCACGTTGCTGCACCCGAGTCAGAGCGTCGCGGCCATGCTCGAGCGCTTCCCTGCTGTCGCATCGGCGGCGAATTGGACCGACGCGGCCCACCTCGTGTTTGGCCCGATGCTGGCGTCGGCTGCATACTAGTATAAATCATATATTGGCTCATGCGAAAAAGATACGTCGGCTAGAGCGTCGATGGCATTGCGCTGGACGTGTACCGGTCGACGTCGTCCTGCGCCATGTCGGGGAACAGGACGTGCATGGTCACGGCGTCGGCGGCCTTGTGGTTGGTTTGGCGCCAAAGCACCTCGGGGTCGTCGCCAACGAGGATCGGGATGCTCTGTACATCAGTGCTGGCGGTGCTGCCCGAGCTGCTGTAGTGCGACGGCGATCGCGTCAAGAGCGTCTTGGTCGCGTCCGCGTCGTCGCCGAGCTTGGCGATGCTTGGACCGCAGCACGTCACGAACGCCTTGCGCCACTGCTCAAAGGACCCCGAGTCGTACGTCGCGAGGTAGTACGACTTGGGCTTCTTGGCGCCGGCGACAACGATGTGGAAGGTGAGCGCGGACGACGCGACGCGGCGCACAGAGAGCAGCCGGCGCGTTTGCTTGAAGCCGCCCGAGAACGTGTCTTCCGAGTCGTATTCGTAGAGCGACGTGTCCTTGAGGACGAAGAAGCGCCGTCGCCAGAGGCTCATGAGCCCCGAGACGCTCTTGAGGCGCAGCCAGCCGCTGATCGTTGGCATTGGTGCAGTACTGTACGGATGTGGGAATGAGCAACTGCGCTGACCACATGCGCCCACGTCGTCACACCCATCGTGCCTCTCGTGCTGCCACGTACTGTTCGAATTTGTTTTTTGAAGCGCACATCACGTACACGGTACATTACGTACTGTACGTCAACGGACGATGTACGCTTTCGGTACAATGTACTATGTCCATCATCGCTCGGGACAGGCGATCGGGACAGGCGACTCAGAAAGATCGCGACGCTGTCGGTAACAGCGCCAAAGAGCCGCGAAGGAAGAAGAACGCCGCATCGCGCTTCAGGACGCACGCAGGAGCTGCACACAGGTCTCTATATCCCTCGGTACATATCCCAAGGCCCGTCTACGACCGTCCAGATACCAAGAAAGGCAACATGTCGTTGAAAATCCTGGCTGCAGCACCAAGAATGTAATATGGGTACTCGACCCATCGTGATGATGAGTACGCTCGTACGTGGGCGTCGTGACCGTGCATCCCACACTGCTGTCCCGGAGGGCAACGTCGGTCTGATCCACCACGTGGTGTTTGTAGAAAGGACGCAAGCGCCATGCAGGCGATGTATATTGGTACGTGGAATAAATAGCGAAATCACGTGAAGATATGGCCTACGACTGCTGCATCGCGTCGCGGTTGACCATGCGCACGTGCTGCATGCAGAGACCACCCACGCGCGCAAAGTCGTTGCAGTTGGCGACGCGACAGCGCGACCCGCCGCCGTGGAGCCGGCAAAAGCCGCGGGTTTGGGCCGCGGTCTCGCAGCCGTCGATCTTGCAGCGCCGGCCGCCGCCGTGGCGCGTGCAAAAGCCGCCGTGGCGCGCAAAGGCCGTGCAGTTGGTCGCTTGGCACTTGCGGTGGCGGTTCGTGCGCGTCGGCTTGGTGGCCTCGGAGCCGGTTTCGCTGGCAGACTTGGTCGAGGCCGGCGAAGCGACGTGGAGTGTGCGCGCGTGGATCAAGCAGAGGTCGTTGAGCTTGGCGTATCGGTAGCAGTTGTGGTGGTAGCTGCACGGCGCGGGCGCTTCGGGGTGGAGACCCTGGAAGTTCATCTTGGCGAGACGGCGCAAATGAAACACTGGGAACACCGAGGTCGAGGACAAAACAGACGACTGCCGAGGCCCGCGACATCGTTGAAGGTATGGGTGGGACTCCACAAAGCAAAGTCGATATCCTAATTGCACGCAGGAGGTTCCAGCTGCTTTCCGAGCACACGAGCCAGTCCACACGCATCAACCAAGGCCGTGTCCACATACTCGGCCAATTGCCGTCGCGGTCGCTCGCCGCCGAATGCTTCGTGGCGACACGAGCAAACGAAGGCGGTCGCACATAGATCTACACACTCTACAGCGGCATCTTGGGACCACGACGCCTCAGGCATTCGCAACAACCACCAACAACCCGTAGGTGGCACCATCCCTCGTCTACGGTAGTCGAGTTGGTCACATGCCCGTGACCCTCTCGAAAGAATGTGTAATGCAAGTCAAATAAGCGCCCAGTCATGACGGATGTCAAATGGCCTTTCTTCATGACCCGTGGTCAAGCACTTCAGCTTTCTCCAGCTTGACAAAGACCGCACTGCAACCGATACCTGGTCCTGACCGTAGTACACCGGTCGTCGTCGTCGTCGGGCAATGGTACAAGGGACGAACGAGAAAAGCCACCCAAGAGTCTGAGACTGCAAGATGTCGGCATCATGGACAATCGCGAGCTCGTGTCGCATATGGTCCCCCAGTGGATACTATTATTCGTGTACGCTGCGCTCGCGACGAGAGGCATCAAGCGCGACGCAAAGATTTTTGTGCCGTCGTCGTCGTCTCGTGGCGCGCGGGAGACGATCAGCGCGGCACACTTCGCGTCCAAGCATCCAGCAAGCCGGTCCTGTCTACGGACGCACAAACTTGAAGCTGCGGGAAAAACACGCGGCCGTCGAGTGGGTGCGAGACCGTTCACGTGAACAGCCAGTGCGGTCTGAGAAGGTCAATTCGTTTCAAACTCACGTGCGGCCAAGCCGACGCCAAAGAAGACGGCGTTCGTTCCCGTCCCAGCTGGCTACGAAGGCCAACACGATAGCGTCGTCGCCATTGGACGCTTGATGAAGGCGTTCCGACGTCACGGCCCTTGTCCTACCTTGTCGAATGCGTTGCGATCATCCGGTGCCCACATGCAGCACGCTCAGTGCCAACACATATGGTCCAAGTGGATTTTACATGCTTTCCACATACGTGAAAAATGTCATTGTACTCGCGTATTGTATGTGTGTGGTTGTGGGAAACATTTCCCACGCAGTATCTTGCCATGTCTTGGCCGCCACAGCACGAAGGAATGGGTTGACTTCAACGCGATGTGCGGCTTCCGACGGCGAGTTTGCGCGGTCAGAGAGGCAGCGCATCGAGCAAAGAGCAGTAGGAAAGGCGGCGAATGGCTGTGGACGGCCACGAACCGCCGCACGGTGTCCCTCTCACAAACGTTGGCGCCTTCCGTTGGGCGTTTACTCGGCTCGTGCATCCCAATTACTCGCGGCTTCGATTTTGGTCACTTGTTCGACTGTCGTGTGCAATCTTGTCGAGTTTACATCATTTTTGGGCCACTGGGTGATGGCGAGTCGTTACTTCGCTCTGAGTTTCGACCCGCATAGCAGTCGTCGTCGTGCTAGTATCACACTGACGATGTGCGCGCGTCGCATTCCGAGTGGCCCTTCTTTGCGCGAACATCGAAATGGACTTGGCTTCATCTTCACAGTGTCGGAAGAGTCTGGCTGTGGCGACGGCTCGCTTTGAGATCAGCACCACCAAGACGGCGCTCCCAAAGCACTCTTCTTGGCAAAAGGTCCCGAAGCAAAAAAGTACATGGTGTCCCCACGTGTTTCGTGTCTATTGAGCCGTAGACAAGGCGGTGATGCGATACACAAACCCAGTTGCCGCGTATGCGGCCGATCGCTTTCGACGGCCTTCTTTTTGCTGCACACGTGCTGGGTGGCATGGATGATGGGGGAAGGTCTTGGGACATTCTTCCTCGTTCAACGCTCGGTGCACCCAGAATCACCTTGAACCGAGCACTCGTGCACTTGTAGAACCGTCGGTTGCTGTGCTTTCTGAGATTGGAATGCCGACCCACTTGAGCTTCATGCTAGTTTACATGCACTAACTGGCCTTCTTCTGTGGCACTGTACGCGCCCAGGTTGGCGCCGCGGCTTCGGACGAGATTTGCGGAGCCGCCGCGGTTCGGATTATGACGTGGCAGCGCGCAATGCGTTTTGAGGCGCCGGTTTCGGCAACCTGGTCTGAAACGACGGAAAGGCCAAAGCGGCGTAGTATCGTCAAGTGAATCTCTGCACCGATGGCGGACTATGCTGCGATCGCTGATAACTTTGTTTGCACGACCATGAGCGGGCACCGACGACTGCACACGGGCTGGCTGCACATGAAGCAGCGCTCGTTCCTCTCGGGCTGGAAGCGGCGCTTCTGCGTCCTCAAGCGGGACCGCGACGGCGCGTACGTGTACCTCCACGTGTACAAGGGCAGCAACACGGTCAACGAGCCGCTTCTCGAGTCGATCGCGATCCGCCAAATCAAGACACACGTGCTGCACGCGAGCTCCAAGACACCGTTCGTGCTCGAGGTGCTGCCGTACGTCTCGGCTACCGCGCTCTTTGCCTGTAGCGACGAGCGCGTCTTTCGGGACTGGGAGACCCAGTGCGACGCCGCAGGCATCGACATGGTGGTGCGCGTAACGAGCTCTGCGTCCGTGTCGACGTCCAGCAACGATACGGACGTGGTCGAGAAGGAGCCGGGGCTCTTTGAACGGCTCGGAAAGGCCTACATGAAGACGTTCCTCATGGACGCCGCGACGGCCAATGACATTGTCGTGTCCAAGCGCCTTCTGTCGCACCACAATACGTCCATCGAGCGCAAGATCGAGGCTCGCCTGCAGCAGTGGTTTGTCGGCGCCGCCGACTGCGGCCGATGCTCGGTCAACGGTATGGACGTCGCGGGACCTGGCGCGTTGCCGCAGCAAGTGACGTTGCACATGGTGTCGCCCGGCGGCTGGAAGTGGTGCGTGACCGAGGTCTACACAACCCTGCCGCGCACGACGTTTCGGTGGCGCCAAGTGGGCTACTTCCACGGCACGTTCCAAGGCGTGGCCGGCAACGGCGACATGATTGAGCTCGAGGGGTTTTGCCACATGGACTTTGACGCGGCGTCCAAAAAGCCAACGCACTTGCAGCTCTTTTACAGCGTCGACGGGCTCCTCGCGGCGCTTTACGCGTTCGTGCGCGAGAAGAACCTCGCGACTGCCGTGTGACGAGAATGCACAAGTAGCTGACCATAGATCGTGTTGTCTTCAAAAATCATTTATCATTCCCTGTTTCTCGGTTGCGATTGCCACATTGGCCGAAGATGTTCGTCTCGCGTTGAAGCAAACGACGGTGAACGAACCTTCGTCTCCTGCACATCCCGATCTTCACATATCTTTACCGTCAGCAATGCTAGCATAGCTGCGGGTCCGGTGGCTCTTTCTTTTGGCCTTGAAGCTGCTGGCGCGCCCAGCCACTGCCACCAAGCTTGGCCTCCGACTCCCTCTGTCGGCGCGGATCTTGCCAAGATACTTCGAGGCCAAAGCATATCGAAGTTCGAAGAAATGATTTTGATTGGTCCTTCTTACTTGCATTTGCGATGGCAACGGCCGAGGTCGAGAAGTACGCGACGTTCGTCGAGGAGACGCTGCGGCCGCAGCTGACGGCCGCGCTTGCGCAGCGCGACGCGCTCGACGCCGACGTGGCCGAGTACGACAACCTCGTCGAGATGCTCGCGGGCAAGGCTGCGGCGGACGCGCAGGACAAGGCGTGGAAGCTGCAGTGCGACCTCGGGAAGCAGTGCTATGCCAAGGTCAAGGTCGCGCCCCATACGCCCGTCGTCGTGCACATTGGTTTGCAGGTGTACGTTGAAATGGCCGCCGCGGACGTACCGCCCTTTGTCGCTGGCCGCAAGCAGTTTTTGGCTGCGAAGCGCGAGCGTCACCAAGCCAAGGCGCGCGAGATCGCCAGCCACATCCAGCAAGTGCTGGATGCCGTCGAGGCTCTGGCCAGGCTCCAGTCGGCAACACCCGAATAATAAAAAGTCCATTAGTACATCAACCAGATCTTATCTTATACTCGACACAGACGGCGTGGGATATAGATTATTAGGTTACGACTTCAGGAGACGACTACAGTACTGGTACAAGAGCTAACGAGATGGGCTGTCGACCTCTCACAAGTAGATCTAGACATACAGATAAGAATCAACCTCATCAATGGCATCGCAGGCGTACCATGCCATAGTGGTGGTTGGCGTCCTTGTCGACGACCTGCGCGGCCATGCGCGTCGGCTCCTTGCGCGCCGCCGGCGCCGTGTTGTGGCGCACGAGCAGCTGCCGGCACGCGTTCGGGAGCAAGTCGCGCTCCACGAGGTGCTTCATGAGCGTGTTGCACTCGGCCTCGGTGATGGAGACGGCAGCAAGGTGGTCGTCGCCCTGGCGCGAGAGTCGGCGCACGAGGAAGCTGGTCATGGACATGGTCGGGGGGGTGGCTGGGGCGGCGAAGATTCGAAAATGACCTGCTCCGGCAGCGGCCGCCGACGGCGTCGTTTCATTGGCCAAAACTACGCGGAAAAACGGCCCCACGACGATGGACCTGTCCCAAAATGCTTACCAATCTCAAGATGCTGGTCCGAAATGTGTAAAATGCAATTCCCACGGTGGGAAATCGCGCGCATCTTTGGCGCCAACTTCAAGGTCCCCCTTCAGAGTAGCCGTTCTGGACGTTGCACTGCATGCTTGGGTGCTGGCGCTCAGCTGCAATTTGCTCCTCGCATCACCACGCGCCCAGAGAACGACACTGTGGTACGGTGACATGCAAGCATTCTACGGTGTTTTTGTATGCCTTTACACTATGCCTGGTACTAGATATATCTCGCCCACGCATGCGGAAAAATTGACGGATGGCGTTTGGATCAATTCAACGTCCTCGGTGAAATGTAATTTTCACACTGGTATCTAGAATTTCCTCTGGCAGCGGACCCAATTCACGAACGCACGAATGCTGCGCCTGTCCGGACGTCTCGGATCCTCTACGTTTGTCGAACAACGACGTCGCAGACGTCCATGTCCATGCTGCCGCGCCATTGTCACGGGTCCTGAACGCTTGGATGATGGATGGCTGCAGTTGATCGTCGATCAACCCTTGATGTGAGAAATCGGACATGTGGGAAATACCACCATTTCCCACGAGGTGCGATGTTGAAGTTGCCAGTTCTTCTTCCTTTGTGATCTTGGTTCAAGTTCGCGATTGAGGTGCGGCCGTCGGCGTCTCTATCTGCCTGCCGCTGTCCGACCGTTCCGTGCGGTACGTCCATCGGCAGCAAACTGCCAACGTGTTATGAATTCCTTCAAATACCATGAGTCATTATCGCCTGGCAGCGCTCGGCTTTCGTGGGCCGCCAAGAGATGCATCGAATGTGGGACTACAGCAAGGCTGCACGAGAACCCTGAGTAGCTCCACGTGCGTGCGAGGCTTGGCGGCATTACACAAGGGCGATGTATCTCGAGTGCGTGCTTCGTCGTTGCCAACTGCCAAAAGCTGTCGCAAGGTTGTATCTCGAATAGGAATGTACGGGGCTTTTGATCTCATGCGACTCGATTCGAGAAGCTCACTACGAGACGCTCGAACGATGGGCCAACACATGAACCGTGAGGATGGCGCACTGCCAAATTGCCAGCTGCCTCTAAGCTGATCGTGGGCTATGACGACCGTTTCACAAGCGGTCCACAGCATTCTTCAGCGTCCATTCAGGGAGTGTCAAGGTGCAGATGGGACTACGTCGACCGCCTTTCGTACATTCCTGCTTCATACGCAGGTGTTGTCCCTTCCTTCTCTTTCCCATTGGTGTGAACCACCAAGTTGCTTCGAGTCCACAAGCAGCAGACCAAGGACCACAGTTTCGACAGCAGAATCTGTGGTCTGTGCGTGCTGGCAGCACTGCGGTGATGGTTGGATGACGTGGCAAAATGTCCGTTCGCCCAAAGCTGCAAGAAACCCCTTTTTGTCACCAGACCACCATCTGTCTCGTGTCAGGTCAGCATGATCCTCTTTTTGTCATTTATGGCTACCCATACATTCACCCACATATTTTTATTCCGATGCTCAATGCATTTTAAAAGGCTGCAATTGCGAAGAAAGATATCGTGGGGGCGACGACGATGGCGTTCCGCTCGACCAGGTCGACCCGCGCGAAGGAGCGGTCGGTGCTCCAGCGCGGGCTGCAGGCGCTCGGAAGCTTCTGCGGCGCGCGCCCGTGGACTGTGATGGCCATGGCCATTGGCGCCAGCATCCTCGGCTCGCTCGGCGTGCTGCACATGACCATCCAGAACGAGCCGCAAAAGCTGTGGGTGCCACCGACGTCGACGTCGGCCATGCAGCAGCGCTTCTTTGACGAGCACTTTGGGCCGTTCTTCCGCATCGAGCAGCTCATCTTCCACTTGCCCAACGGCAGCGACAACGACGTCATCACCAAGGCCTTCCTCGCCGAGGTCGGCGAGCTCCAGCACCGCATCATGACCACGAACGCGACGCTCGGCAACGAAATGATTAGCCTCGACGATCTCTGCTTTCGGCCCATTCCAGGCAAAGGCTGCCTCGTCGAGAGCCCGATGCAGTACTGGCGCGGCGACGTCACGCTCGTTGCCTCAGACCCCGACATCAAGCTCACGATTGCATGCCAAACGACACATCCCGACGTACGCAAGGAGTTCCATGTCTTCCTTGTCTTCTTACCATCGATGCATATAGCTTGCGTCCTTTTCACCTTGCATGGACCAAAACGGCGTCCCCGTCATGCGCGACGTCGTCTTTGGCGGGCTCTCGACCGACAGCTGCCACAAGAACCCGGATCCGTGCGGCGATCCCACGCCCCGCGCGACCGCGCTCATAGTAACCTTCCTCCTCGTACGTCACAGCTTCCATGTTGATCCGCAAGCTATGGTCTTGACGATCGGATAGACCAACGACATGCACCCGGCGGCGCAGGCCCGCGCCAAGGCGTGGGAAGAGCAAGTCTTTTTGCATGTTGCTTCGACGTACGTCTCCAAGGTCGGGCTCGTCGTCGAGTCGATGGCCCAGCGCTCCGTGGAAGACGCGCTGACGGTCGAGACGCAGCAAAACGCGTTCATCGTCGTCTTGAGCTACCTCCTCATGTTCGTCTACGTGGCCATGGCGCTCGGCAAGCCGCTGGACACAGTCAAGTCGCGCTACGTGCTCGGGCTCTGGGGCATCTCGATCGTGATTGCGTCCATGGGCATCGCGTTTGGTACCGAAATGCGTTTAGTATCAATGTATCGACCGTTCGGGGTAGGCATTGCGGTCAGCGTGCTTCGTATCGACATTACCATGATCACGCTCGAGGTCGTGCCCTTCCTCATCCTCGCCATCGGCGTCGACAACATGTTCATTCTCACCAACGAACTCGACCGCGTGCTCCGCGCGCAGACACACATCCCCCGTGGTACGCTGTGCACCCTCTTTTGTCGCCTAGTTGACGCATGTAGAGTTTACCTCACTGCCGCAGCTCCTTGGCGACGCGATGGCCAACGTCGGTCCGTCCATCACGGTACCGGCATCTTCCTGCGACGAGGTGGCATGTCAGTTGTAGGTGGCCGCGGTCTCCGAGTCGCTCGCGTTCCTCGTGGGGGCGTACACCAAGATCCCGGCGCTCGAGTCGTTTTGCATCGTCGCCGCCCTCGCCGTCGTCGCCGACTATGTGCTGCAGATAACGTGGTTTGCAGCGGCCTTGGCCATTGACGCGCGGCGTGTGCGCGTACGTCCGCCGCCGCATTGCTGTATACCTAATGATGCGTGACACAGGCGCGTCGGTACGACTTGATGCCGTGCATGAAGAAGCCGTATGTGCTCAGCCCCGACAAGAACCGGCAGATCCGAGCCTACTCGGAGGACTTTGAGGACGGCGAAACTGCGTCCGTCGTGCAGTCCTTCCTAGACACGCGCTGGATCCCGACCTTGTTTTCGCGCCGCACCAAGACCCTTGTGGTGAGTTCTCTATATATTGGATGCAACTATGAGTATTGCGTAGCTCGGACTCTGGCTCGGGTGGCTCGCCTGGAGCGCATATGCGTTCACGCAGATCCCCATGGGTCTCGAGCAGACGCTGGCGATCCCGACCGACTTCTACCTCCACGACTACTTTGAAGCGCAGACCAAGTACGGCGACGCGGGCCCACCGGCTTATATTGTACGGTCGAAGTGGCCTCGTTTAGCTTCTCAAAGCACTCGAGTAGGTGCTGCGCGATGTTGACTTTACAAATGGCCACGTGCAGACCAGCACGCTGCAGCTGCTGGACAACCTCTCGCTCCTGCAGCCTTACCTCGGGTCGACGATCTCGTCTTGGCTCAACACGTTCAACCAGTGGCGGCAACTGCGCCAGTTCCTTGCCGAGAAGCACGACCAAGGTCGTTGTTGTCTTGGCTCTCGAGACTCGGGGTACGACGGTGAAGATGCGTAGAGCTTAGCGACTGTCCCGAGCAGCCGCTGGACCCGTTTCCGTTCGAGACGTCCGACCCAAGCGCCCACACGACGCCGCTCGAGCTCTACTACCCGCTCGTCCAAACGTTTACGCGCATCCCGATCGAGTCGCAGTGTTGCCAGAGCTACGGTCTCTGCGGCGCTCAGTTTGCGATGGACATTGACTTTACATTGTCTCTTCTCCAATCTCAAAAAAGAACTTGGAGATTCAGATTCAGCGTAGGACGCTCGCCAACGCGACAGGGATTGCTGCGTCGCGCATGCGATTCCAAGTCGCGCCCATGACCAACCAGACGATGCTTATCAACTCGTTCTACTACCTCACGACGCTCACGGCCGAGTGGAGCCATCCGCTGTACGCTTCTCGTCGACTCCCACCACTCTCAGATCTCAGATGTCATGCTAGATCCACCATGCACGACGCGGCCTTCCCCTACAGCCTCTACTTTGTCTACTACGACCAGTATTTGACCATCCAAGGCATTGCTCTGCAAAGCGTCTTGCTCGCCCTCGGTACCTCCGCACACGAATGATCCTGTTCGAATTCGAGTAGGCGTCGTCTACGTCTGCCTGGCGCTCCTGCTGCCGCACCAACTGCGGACGTGCCTCGTCGTGACGGTGGGCGTCGCCTCGATGGCCATGTCGCTCATCGGCGTCGTGCACCTCTGGAACCTCTGCTCGACGCTGCACACGTCCATCAACGCGGTACGGACTTCGTATTTCTGCTATGTGTTTACGACGGTGCGCAGGTCTCGGTCGTCAACTTGGTCGCGTGCGTCGGCCTCGGCGTCGAGTTCAACATCCATGTCGCGTCGACGTTTGCGGCGCTTCAGAGCTCCAAGCTCGAGCGGGCCAAAGTCGCGCTCTCGGTCGTCGGGCCGTCGATTGTGAGCGGCATTACACTCACCAAGGTCGTTGGCGTCGGCGTCCTCGCCTTTGCCCACTCGCAGCTCTTCCAGGTGTACTTCTTCCGCATGTACGCCTCGATCGTCGTCCTCGGCGCGCTCCATGGCCTCGCCCTCGTGCCGCTGTTGCTCAGCCTCTTTGGGTCGACGGCCCAGCGCCACCGTGTCGACGGCCCCGCCTCCGACTTTACCCGCGGCCTCCTCAGCGACGACTCGGACGACACGGACGACTAGGCTACGTTGTTCGTATATACGCCTAGTATTATGCGTGATAATTTCGAGTGCGAGCCTGCAGATGGTCTGACGCTACGATTTGCGGCACCGTCATCACTGCGGCAGCCTGCAGCCGCACTATGCCAGTGGTGAGGTCCAGCATCTTGCGAGCCCGCTAACTTGGGAGAGCTCGTCATGGAAAAGGCTACTTTGAGTGCCAGTACGACGACGACTGCTCATCGAACGTGGGTGGAGTACCCGTGAGTGGAATGACGCTGCAGAAAAGCGCAAGCAGCAGCATGCATGAGCGTCCAGAGTGGCTCCAGCTCAGCGTGGGACCTTCGTGCCAAAGAGGCGTGACGTCGCCCACATACAAGCTCGCACCCAGCTCCACTTCCCACTGCCCAGTACACAGCTCAGTCGGTGCCTGTCCCTTCGTGCTGCATCAGCTGTTGCATCGCGCTCGCCTCGACGACGGACGCTCGCCACAAGCACCGCTCCGTCGGCTCGCCGTGCGCCCTCAAGTCCGCCAACGACGACGAAGAGGATGCGTCCTTTGCGCGGACAGGCCGCGACGACCCACGACAGCTTTGGCTTGTCGGTCGTGACGCGCGGCCCTGAGACGAGCAACAAAGAACAAGCCGACGCAGCGACGACCGCGGCCTGCTCATAGCACGAGCGGAGGACCACGACGCCGGCCGCGTCGTGGCTCGCGACCATATCTCTACTACTCTTGCAGCATTACGGTACGTCCGGCGGCTGCGCCTCCTCGGTGGTCAGCCAAAGGGCAAAGTCGGCGCCTCTGGTCCGCGCGCTCTGATTGGCTCCGCGGGTGGGCTCAGGTTCAACTTTCTACGTCAACCGCCCCGTCTTTCGAGCGTTATACTTGGGTTTTGTATCGGGAGCCGCCGCCCGAATGGCATGACAGCCCGCCGAACCTCGTCGTCGTTGCTGTTGCTGAAGAAGGCAGCATTTCCCACATCATCTTGTCACCCAAGCATGGCCTCGGCTGCGGCGCCGGCGCCGATGCTGCCGCCGATCCGGCGCTACGTGCGCGCCAACAGCGACCTCGCCCAGCGCATGTACTTTCTTCGGCGCAAACAAGTCCAATTCTCGACCGTGACCACCTTTGAGTTCAAAGTCGACTACGGCGGCTCCGCCGTGCCGACCGCGACAGGCCCGCCGATCGGCCTCGCACGACGCCACTGGCGCGCGCGGACGACGGCTGTCGCCAACGTCACGGGCGTCGTGCGCAAGTTTGACCACTTTGAACGCATCCAGCTGCTCAAGCAGGCCAAGTACGACGTCAAGGACATTGCCGCCTTTTGCCTCGACGCGGTCGCGGCGCGCGCCGCCCGCATGGAGACCCGCGCCGAGCTGCTGGAAGAACAGTCGCGGAAGCGGCAGCACGACCGAATGATGCTCGATGATGACGACGAAGAGGAAATGAAGCCGCCGCAACGACTGCGGCCCAACGAGCCCCTTATCTAACTCCTAACTTATTCTTGACGCGCGTTGCCTTGCGGTTGATGTAAAGTGCATGGTCTTTACACAGGACGGCCTCTGTCGCAGGTCGGACATGGGATCACCGCTTTCTCATGGTCCACGACAGCGACGCCATATGCTAGGACGATTGTGCTCCAACACTCTTCTTTGCTCATGACACGGAAGGTAGAAGCGATGTGAGAGCAGGTCGTCCTGTGAGTATATCTCGCGCGTTTTCACAGTACATCGTCCGCGCTTGACGTGTATGGTGCAGCTCGTCTTCTACCCAGTTCTTGGCGTGTGCAAGCGCCACGTCACCGACTCGAAACGTTTTGGATCGAGCGCGTTTCGAACTCGGAACAGTCGTTGGCGATGGCGACGGGCCCGCGGAAAGACAAGTCCGCCCGGCCCATTAGCTCGATCGGACAGAGCAGCTTTCAACTGCACGCGACGCACGAGGCGTCTTCAGCGGACGACGCGAGCGTGTTCGACATCAAGCAGTTTCTTCTCGGTACTACCTTCATTCGACTCAGTCGTCCTTGTGTACTATACGGCCAAGTAGAGAAGAAGAGCGGGCAGCCGTCGTACGCCGCGTCCGGGCTCTTTCGCACCAACACGCGCGACTTTGCCGAGGCCGTCGATGCGCCGCTCTCGTTCACACGCGTCCTCAAGAAGAAGCAGCTGCCGCGCATGACGCAGGCGCGGTCGACGCCAACGCTACCCAAGCCAGGAAGCACGGCGAATGCGATCAACCAATCCTCCGACGCCGAGCACAGCGTCGGGTACCGCATCTACTCGATCGAAAACATGATGGACGCATCGCTGCATGCGATTCGGTCGCTCAACAAGACGTGGCAGACGCTTCGGACGAGCGGTACACTTCGGTAGCTACCTATACAGGATGCAATCGACCGCGTAGACCTGCGGCTCGAGTGCCCGTCCAAGCGCAGCGACGTCGTCGACCTTGAAAACTGCTTTGACGCGGCCATGAGCTATGCCAGCGGCCACATCAACTGGGACGGCAACCGCCAAACCGCACTCATTGACCGCGACTACATGTCGGTACGTCCTCTTCTACTCTCGCTAATACATGCACATCGAACGACCGGAGCGCGTAGGTGCAGAGTCACGTGTCGGCCCAGTACGTGGCGTCCGTCTCGGAAGCCGAAGTCCGCCAACTGACGACCATGGTCTTTGAGCAAAAGTGGGCCGACATTACGATCGGCGAGCTCGAAGCGATGCTCATGGTGTCCTTCCTCGAGCAAGGCACGCTGCTGCGCAAAGTGCGCATCCAGTACGCCATGACGTATGCGAACCTCGAGACGCTCCTCGGCGAGAGCCTCGTATGGCCTTTCTGAAATCTGAGCGACCTTCATTCAACGCGCAATGTAGGTCGTGAAAGCGCGGGCAGTGCAAGCCGAGGCCGACATGCGCGCCAAGCTCGAGAGCCTCGGCCACGAGCACACAGCGGCGATCGCTGCTCTGCGCTTTGACTATGAGCACGCACTTGAAGCGCTGCGCGGCGAGGTGCGCGCGCCTCACGTGCGCAAAGCTCCACCTTGCTCTAGATGGAGCACGAACGTGGCGAGGCCGACCGCAAGGTTCAAGACGCGCGCGACCAAGTGGCGAAAATGAGCGAGACCATGAAGACGCTCAACGGCATCTTCAAGCAGATGCGCGAAGACTCGGATAAGGTCCGCGCCATGGAGCTCAAGGAAGCCAACCAAAAGGTACGTAGCGGTCTACGCGAGTCGAGGTGGACGATTCTTCTTAGCTCGAGAAGCGATGCGACGCACTCAAAGACGAAGTCGACCGCCTGCGAAGCCTCATTCCTCGCATCAAGGTCCTGGAAATGACCACCGAAGCTCAGACGTCCCAGGTACGAAGACGCGCGAGTGCTCACATTGACGTCCTCCAAGATACAAGGTCTCGAGCGCGACTTGGCCGACGCACACTCTGTCATTGCAGAGAAGGAGGCGATCATCGAAGACCTACTACATGTATACGCAACCGATGGATATCCAGTTCAACGAGAGACGTAGCGCCAAGAGCAACTGCTCGCTCGCCTCGAGATCCAAGCCTCCAAGGGCAAGCCTGAACCCGACGCGTCGCCTGCTACCGACGACGGCGCCGCACTCTGCCGTCGTTGCCGAGGGGTGCGTCGACAAGACACTTCTCCCATGTCGGTTCTTACGCAATTGATAGTCGCTCGATGACGACGGCGACGATGGGGCACCTCGCATGGCCACTGCCTCGGCAGGCGCCGATGACAACATGGCGGGAAGTGGGTATGCACCGACGTTGGCCAAGCCCCGGGAGCAGGCCAAGCGAGTGCACTGTCAGTCGTTTCGCATTCTACTCCCCAACCTCCAGGGGCGTCGGCCAACGCGCGAGGTGAGCTGGACGCTCGGGTGCATTCGGTCGTTGCTGGCCGCCAAAATGGAAGACGACGGCATTTGCTTCCTTGGGAACCTCTCAGGCCGCCTGCGCATGGCCGAGTTTGTTTACACTTGGTTCAGTCCGCTCGAAACCGAGCTCTCTTTGCTCTCGCCCGACCAGCGCGACCACGCCTACGCCCGCGTACGTCGCTGCTCGCTGAGGCGTCTCAACCGTCGCTTATAGGCCGACGAAGCGCGCTGGTGCTTGTACTACGGCGCCAAAGTGCTATCGAAAGACTGCGTCGAGGCCAAGCTCTTCCTCTCGTTCCTGGACGAAAAGCACGGCGACGACGAGGTATCCTCGCTCTTGCAGGATATTTTATCACGCGGATCCTAGCTTGTCTTTGCGCTCTACTGCCTTCGAGCGCTCGATGCGCTCGAGCGCGGTGAGCTTCGCTGGAGCCCGCTTCGACGCACGCCGCACTACGAGGCCTTTGCCTCCGAGTGGACAGCGCACGCGAGCATCACGGGCGAGATCGTCCAAGTGCCCCGCGTGGTCTGGATCCCGCTGACGCTCGCGTCGCAGGCCACAGCCATCGTGCTCATCAAGGTCCGTGGTATCCATTGTTTGTTCTAAATGCAGTGCAGGCGACCGCCGAAGAGCGCGTGGACTTTGACCTCAAGCTCAAGGCGCTGTCGGTGTCGACGCTGCCGGACGGCGAGTCCAGCGCCAGCCTCAACGAGACGCCACCGTTTGTGGACGCCCACCACTGGCTCCAGCTCATGCTGCAGGTGTCGCTCCCGCCAACGCTCCCTCCATGACACCGTGACAATGTAGGAGTACCGGGAAGAGCAAGCCCACCGCCGCGCAGCGATTCGGCTCATGTTTCAAACCGCGTCGTCCAACCACGCGCCGGCCAATGATGCGAACGACGATGTCCTCGGGCACTCGAGCAACGCCGAGATGGACATGGAGCAGTTCCGGGCCATGATGCTCACGCTGCAAGCCGACGTGAGCTGCGCGACGATCGTCTCGTACTTCCGCCTCTCGTACGACCGCGGCGGCGGCCACGTGACCTTTGACGCGTTCATCGACACGGCCGAGGAGCGCCAGTTCTTTGCGCAGTGCATGTGCTTGGCATCGCCCGGCGTGCTCGCGGCGCCGCGCATCAACTCGCCCCACGCGCACCTCGGGTCGCTCGTCGCCAAGCACTACACGCTGTACGAGAACGACCTGTATGCGCTTGTGAGCACGCTCCCGCCGTACACACAGGCGCTGGCCCGACAGGCGCTGGCCGAGGTGAAGCGGCTTCGATTTTTTATGGCGTTCGATAATCTATTTTTAGACATCCGGATATCTGCGCGAAGGACGGGGCGCGGTCATTGACGGCTTCCGCGCCCTTGCCGCCTACCACCGCGCGGCCACGTTCCACCTCTGGCACTGGCTCACGCGCACAGAACTTAGTGGCACGTTCGAGTTACCGCCGACCGCGCTGCGACGGCTCGACAAGCTCCTCGTCGGCGACCTCGACGCGACGCGCGACGGCCCGCCGCATGCGACCCACCACGCGTACGATGACACTGCCTCGTATGGTGCTTGATGTGTTTGCTGGGTATAGCGGCGAGCGCTTGCTGAGTATGGTGCGCAAAAAGCTCGCGATCCACCGGCTCCAGCGGGCGTTCCGCGCGCGGCTCAAGCGCGACCAAGGCGTGCCCCTCAACATGCGCGAGCTCATGCACGACGGGTACGGCAGCGGCAAGACGAGCTACCGCAGCCGGCACGTCGTGCGGTCGACCAAGTGGCTTCTTTGCGTTATCTCAGATCTCATCCGCGCGCGCGCCGAAGTCGAAGAGTCGTCCGACCACCAACCGTTCATCGAATTTGTGTACGACTACTTTATGGCGCGCTTTGGGTCCCGGTACGTTTATATTGGACAATACGAGTCCAATATATATATGTTGCGCATTAGGTGGGAGGCCGAGAAGGTCATTCACGATGTGTTTGTCAATACACGGACGCTGGTCATGTCCCACGCGCGCATTCTGCTCTTCTCGCAGCTCTGCGGCATGGGCGCGAGCGGCGAAGACGTCTACTACGGGTCTCCCCAAGCGTTCAACTTCATCAACATGGTGCTCCACGCCGGGTACCACACGTTTCCGCTTCTCCACGTACGATTTGCCTATGGATTTCTGCATGTATACGATGGACACGACCTAGCCGGACGTGGGCACCGAGTACGAGTACGTCAAGCACGAAGATGCCGTGTGCCTCATCCAAGCCTTCTTTGGCTCGGTATGGATTGCAGGAGCCATAGGAAAAGCGCTGCATGTCCATATCGAATGCAATAGGTGGACGTCGAAAACCACGATCGGATGCTCGGGCGACTGCGTGAGCTCGAGCACATGAGTTTGCAGCCCAAGACGTCGGACGCCGACGGGTACGCTATAGTATCAATGTATCAAGGTGTTACGCACCAACACTGTAGACTGTTACTCTTTCTGTTGGAGGAGTGGCGACGTCACGTCTTGGACCGGATGGGCCAAGTGCGCGTCATGTGCATTGCCGACAAGGACTTGCTCGCAAGCGACGGGTATCTCTCGCTCGACCAGCTCCTCGTCGTCTTTCGG